ATAGGAGAGGTGCTCCAGCCCTCAGATCATTTTAGCAGCCCTCCTCTGGCCCCGCTCCAACACTTCCATGTCCTTCTTGTGCTGAGGGCTCCAGAGCTGGATGCAGTACTGCAGGTGAGGCCTCACCAGAGCGTTCATTTCAGTAATGGCAACTAGGTTGTAGCTTTCCAGCAGCATGGTGGCTTCCAACTCCTCCTGTTTGTTGCCCATGCTGTGTGCATTGGTGTAGAGGCACTAGAGCTGGGCTGTTGGCTGTGTCACCTTCTTAGAGGAACACCCCGTAATTCCTTTGAGGTATTTCACTGGTGTTTCCCTGTTGGCTCCTATTGCCTCAGGAGCCCCAGGCTTCTAGTGTGCTGCAGTGTAGCCAGCACGTCTCAGAGCAACAGGCTGAGGGCCCTCGCTAGCACCTCATTCCTCTAACCTTGGTGTCATCCCACAGCTTGTCATGGGCAAGCCTGGTACTATCCACCTCCCCCTTCAAGTCTAGTTTAAAGCTCTGTCAATCAGCCCTGCTAGCTCATGAGCAAAGACCCTCTTCCCCCTTTGAGAAAAGTGAATCCTATCTGACACCAGCAAGCTTGGTGCTGTGTAGGCCATCCCATTATCAAAAACCCCCAAATTGTGGTGGTGACACCAGCCATGGAGCCATGTATTAATAGACTGGGCCTGTCTGTTTCTTCCAATGGTGCTGCCCGCAACTGGAAGGAGCAAGGAAAAAGTAACCTGTGCTCCGTATTCCCTTACTAACCGTCCCAGAAGTCTCTTTTGATCACCTTTGGACCACACATTTTGGCTTCATCGCCACTCATATGGAAGAGCAGTAATGGGCAATAGTCCGAGGGCCATACCAGGATAGGAAGTTTCCCAGTGATGTCCCGAATCCAGGCCCCAGGGAGGCAGCAGACTTCCCTAAGAGGATGGTCTGTCCAGCACGACATCCATGTCGTGCTTTATCCATTTCCTTTTTTCCTTCACCTTGTATTTTGCAGCTTTGCACTTTATTATATCAACCCTTGAACAAGTCTGTGGTTGTCATCTTGCTCTGCTATTTAACTGTCTTTTACAAATAGATCAAAGCTGGGTTTTTTATGCTCCAGCCAAAGCAAATATCCAAAATTAAAATCTTACCATCTTGACATGTTATTTGTACCAATTCTGAGCAGGTGATGAGTCAGGTCCCCTGTAATTAAAATATTTAATGCTCTTTTAAGTTTTTCCTGAGATAAAATGGGATGTGGTTGTTCTCATTTCTCAGTAGTGCCTGTGTGCTTCTCCTTACTGATGACAACTGAGGTGAGGTGTTAATGTGTCTTCTAAGTCATGCTTACATTGCCTTCTGCCTTTACCTTATTATTGCTTCTGAGCATTGTCCCAGTTTGTATCTTGTCCTGTTTGTTCTTAAAAAAGTTAGGGAACCCCTCTTTTCCCTGCTTCTTTTAATTCTCTTTATAGAGTCTAATTCAGCTTCATTTTGAGCAATTTGTATTTTATACTTTCAGACCAACAAATGTATGATCCTTTTAAACTCATTTTAGTCCTCCTATTTATTCTCGGTGGTGGGATGAAGAATTTGAATGTGAATAATGTAAATTAAGAGAAAAGCAAGTAGAATGCATGTTCTATAGCATTGAATAGGTGTTATCCAAAAACTTCTGAAATGGAGAAGTGGCTTGGAAATGGATTGACTTTGGTGACTTACTCATCAGCTCGTGCCAGCAATGGCAAGTGGCAGCATATTTATGATTGTTTTACTTTAAGGTTTATAAAAGTTAGCATAATAAAAAGTAAACCAGAAATCTTTCATGGAGGAAGTAAAGGAAGCTCAGTGTTGTATGTGATGAGAATAGAGAGCTTTTCATTATACTGTCAAGGTCTGTTACCTACTGCAAAGGATAAGTTCAGAAGTTCAGTCTTGTTCATAGCTTTTTCAAAATAACACTTGCAGAAGAGTTATTTGAGAGAAATGTGACCAACTGAAAAACCATACACTATGGGGGGCTTTAAAAGGGATGAAAGCTTATTCCAAGGAAGTCTCCACAGGTTGGCAGAATGTTAACAACAATATACAGGAGAAACTTTTTTTTTTTTTCCTTTAAAAAGTGTCCTTGGCACTGTGGAGGAAACCTATAGGAAATATGATGTGCTGATCAAGAGTAAGATTTTTGTGTAGAAGTATTGTAAAAAGTTCTAAAGCCTTATAGACTTTAAATATACTTGCTATGTACCATATATATTACAGGAAACAATGATAGGGATTAAATAAAACAATTTTTTTAATTACTTTGTATGAAAGAAATGTCTGATTCCAGGCAGATGTAGACTAAAACTGGTCAGTTGTGCTGCCTGTTAAGTTATCCTTTACAAACAGGTACCTGTTTTTTAATGTGATTCATTAATTGATCCTGAAGTCTTAACATAAGTTTAATTTTATAATTTTTAAAATAAGACTGAGGCTCATTTGTTTATATACAGATTGATAACCATTCTTCGTTCTTCTATATTAGGTAAAGTTCTCCACTCAACTTCATTTAAAAAAAAAATTCAGGATGAAGAAATAGGATCTTGAAGTCCTCATGATAATGGAGGCTTTAAGGAAGACTGATAACCTTGAGCTTTAAATTGTTTGAAAAAATCCCTTTCTCAAGTTGTTTTCCCATCCCAGGAGATTTAAAAAAACCCAAACCTGCCACTTCAAGGGCGGGTGAAATGTTTCATTAGGAGATACCCTGCATATTCCGTGTTCCATGTTATTAAGTTATCTCAGGCCCCAGTTCAGGTTCGAGGCTGGGATTGCATCCTGTACCATGCAGTAAGTTGTGGTTTAGCAGTTGCATTACTGAAGTGGGAGAACATAAAATAAAAACTATCAACAGAAAGTAGCTTGGGGACTTCTGACCTTTGATTAACTGTGGAAGACAGTACTGGAATAAAATTTATCCAGCTCTGTTTGGGGAAATGTGGGCTGTGAATGGATGGATTCATTCTGATGGAGGGATGGGATCCAAACCCCCGGTGCCTCTCGGAGCTCACTCAGCCAGGATGCAGTGCAATCTGCTTTTGAAAATGTGCTAGACATGATGCCTGAACAGTAGGCCCACTGCAGTCTCAGCAGGCTTTGCAATTAAGAACCAAGTCTCAAATTAGGAAGCACTGAATTAAATAGATGAATGCTGAACTTGGAGGAAACCACTAAAAATTTAATCTTGACACGCAGTTGGCACAGAAGGCATCTTAAGAACATGGACAGATCAAGGGCCATTTTGCAGGAGAAAATAATACCGCTGGCATCTTTGTTCTTCAGCTGCTTGAAGGGAACCTGTCTTGAGAGTAAGCCCAGAGAGCTGGATGAGTTCTCTACTGCCTTTCCTAGCCTTTTCCTGAAAGAACTTTGTTCAGGTCACTGGTTTTAAGTAATTAATGTGTTTGAGGATGTTAACAACTTTGTTTCAGTTGATTTCAAAGAAGATTATCAAAGTCGGGTTGTATTGGAAATCTTCTAGCGGTTGAGTAAATTCATATACATAGCGTTGGGTAGAGCAGCACCTTGTGCTCTTTGCCTACACCGTGGTGGGGCTCTGGCAGGTTAAAACTGTCTGGCTTCTGTAGGGGGGACTTGCCAGGGAGGGGTCATCAATATTTTGCCTTGGTGGGGATGCTGCAGATGGCTCTCGTGTTTCAGGTCCTTGCTGGAGGCTTCCGGCAGATCACTTGCAAGGGATAGAAAAAGTACTTTCCATTTCATGGACTTGGGAACAGGGCTGTCGGTGTTTCATTTGAACATCTGAGCTAGGCTAGCTAATTCACAGTGAGAAACAGTATAATGTATTGTTCTTAGTTACAATGCCATAGAACCAAAGGATGTCTTTAAGGATGTCACTGAGAGAGTGGTCGGTCACTGGCACAGGCTCCCCAGGGAAGTGGTCAAGGCAGCAAGCCTGTCAGAGTTCAAGGAGCATCTGGATGACATTCTTAGTCATATGGTTTAGTTTTAGGCTGTCCTGCAAGGAGCAGGGAGTTGGACTTGATGATCCTTATGGGTCCCTTCTGACTTGAGATATTCTGTGATTCTATGATTTTGGGCAGGATAGGTGAAACCCATTTTTTTGTACTTAAATTAGCATGGAAACCACTTCAGGAGGGGGAATCAATGGTTGCAGGAGAAAACATTAATAAAGATAACCTCACTTGGGTTAGCCAAATGTCTTGTTTGTCATTAAATTATATAGCTGTCTTTCACTCATATTGCATTCAGCTGTATATGTCGTCTTTTCTGAATGGAAATGAAAACTGCCCAGCTGCGCGTTAGTTGTGCCTGTAAGGCAAGTGTTGTGTTTTGCCAGGTAGAAGAGGCTTGTGGTGAGACCTCAGCCTGACTTGGTTCATTCCCGGCAGCTGTGAAATGCCGAGCAGTCACTGCCTGCATTACACCGAGAACCACAAAATTGTGCTAAACTGCAGATTAGCTGAAGTGTTATCAGGATTTTACCCATACTATGACAGTTAGAGGACTGAGCCAAATATATATATATATACTTTTTTTTTTTTAGACCAATTAGATGAAGAGACAACATGCAGGTATATGTAACTATATGAAAATAGTGTTATGCTGTTTCTTAAAGCTAATGAGTGATACTACTGTGAGTGGGGATGACTTGTACAATATATATTTGAGTATATATCACATTTTTACATGTATAGGTGTTGATGCTGACGGAAAGGAAAACCATGTTATATATTGCTGTCTTCCAGCTTCCCTGGCTCTCTCTTTCCATGCTCAGTCAGTCGATGGCTTGAATTCTGTCTTCCTTGGCCCTTGAGTAAGGTGATCTGAGGGGGAAGTGTTCAAACTGCTTCCTAAGCTCAGGCAGAAGCCATCTCTCTGCTCACTGTCACAATATGTTGAATGATGAAAAGTTACAGCATTTCCTATCAAAGCTGTTTTTCTTCCCAGTATTGCTATGGGAGAGCGTTACTGACATGTTTGCATCCGTTTGCAGGAATCTCGGTGGCCTTACTTATTTGGAGCGATCGTTGTTCCTTCATTGATACAAGTCATGATTCTGCCTTTTCTTCCTGAAAGTCCTCGTTACCTCCTACTTGAAAAACATAACACGAGCAAGGCAGAGAAAGGTATGATGTGTTACTTCATTGCAACAAAGCATGTTTATTGTAGGGATGCAGGCAGGAAAATAATTCTGGTATCCCAGTAAAAGCAGAATATTCCAACGGGAGAGATTCTCTTGGCAGTTTTCTTCCCTCACCTTTTTGTTTGACTCTGTGTAAAAATAACTGTTGGTTTCATTTTTATTTTTTTTAAATAAATTCAGTTCTCCAACAAGCTAACCTGTATAGCGTTATGCATGGTGATACAAACCTAACCAAATCACCCTGCTGTTGTGCATCGGCCGCTATATGCAGGGCTCATTCAGGAGTGAGAGATGATTTCGGTCTTCGTGACTCTCTCTAATCTACAGTCTTTGTGATTTGGCTAACAAAACCACCGATTCTGTGGCTGGGTTTTATTCAGTAGTCGCTGTTTGGCCGTGTGTTTCTGCAACTCAATAACCTGTGTAGATCTAATAAAAACCTCATACGCCTATTTAACTGAAAATTCTCAGTGCTGCCATATAGCTTGCTTCAGTTGCACAGCCAAAGACCAGAATATTTTGTTCTTTCTTTAGGTCCTATGTATAAAAAAATTTGCTTGTGTGATCACAGCTGCTATGTACTCTGCCCCACTAAAATTACTATGGTCAGTTGTAAGTTCCAATATATCATCATGTTATGATTGAGAGAATATTGAAAATTGGGTTCGCCTTATTACAGGGATGCATTAAAAATAGGAGTGTACACAGAAGGAAGGAGCCTGATTATAATATCAAGATGTTTGCAAAACGTAGCTGAGCTTTGAAACTTAGTCCTAAAAACTTCATTTGAATATAACTCTTAACATTTTCAGTCAGTAAAATTACCTGTAAAGTGTGAATCAGTCCCTAAAACTTAAATTTAATACTCTTTTTGCATGAAATAATGCAACTCACTCTATCCTGTTTCTTCTACTATGAAACAAAAAACTGCCTTTTTTTGTTCTTATGAGCGCTCTGAACTAGCAATGGCACCACACTAGTGGAGACTCCCATGTTGTCTCAGTTCGGTGTTGAATGAAAAATTTTGTAAATGTTGGAGCCTCAAACATTTAAAGATACAATAGAGCGTTCAGAAAAAAAAAAAGAAAAATTAAGAAAAAAGGAGAGAGCAAAAGTGACAAGGCTTTGGGGAGAGTTCCTTAGCTTTATGGAGTCAGGAGAGATCTGGTGGGGCAGAGAACGGCTTTTCCAGGGATGGCGAAGGCAAGGGCTTGCCCACCAGCCATGGTCTGAGCACCCAGCAGGAGCGCAGTGGTGAGCAGCTTGGGGCTGGCTGTTGGGTGGTAACTTCTGCAGCTCCACGGCTGGGCTGGGAAGAAACGCCTGTGGGTGCCAAGTTTAAACTGGCTCATTTCTACCTGATAAAATTGTAAATGTGTTTCTGGAGCTATGGCTGGCAAAGAGTCTGCATCTGCGGTGCCATTGCATAATGTCACACTCGTTCTAGGGATCTGTTGGAAATACTGCCACAGTACCTGGAAAACTCAGCACTGACAGTGAAGCTGGGCCTCTTATAGGCAGAGTTTAAAAATTGTAGAAAATTGGCAGTAAAGTAACACCACCTGCCTTGAAATTCACACCATTTACTGTTGCTGGTAATGGGCCAACTGCAGTCTGGGATGTTTTCAGTAAACGGGTTTTGATAAATGATCTGAAAGCTGATCTAGAAGCATTGGAGGAGGATTTGGGATCAGAAGTCATCAGGAGAGCAAAGTTACCCTCACCTTACTTGCTAGTTGAAGGTAAGTGAGCTGTAGCAATGGGCTTGCTGATTATGAGAAAGTGGCTTTCATGAGCCACCTGAAAGACTATAAATTTAGACGCGTGGAGAAAAAAGAGGAAGCTGTTATAAAAAACTTCTCAAAGTAACCGCTTATCAATAGAAGCTTTTGAACCTGATTGATTCTAAAATAAAAAATTAATACAGAGATACATTGTAGCACGGAGTGGAACTCATTTTGAGTGTAGTCTACAGAGCTATCAAAACAGCTAGGGACTAATGATGCAGGACAGAGATTTGCAAAGGACCATAGGGCAGTGAGGTGTATACGTCCTCCCGAATTTCCCTCCCATTCCTTGTGTATCAAGCAGCCATGCTTCTAGAATTGGCCACCTTAAGGTAGTGTGTCAGATATCAGCTGCAGAATAGGTAAGGATGATAGCTTTGGAGTTCATAATCCATAAAATCCACCTGTAAGGCAGCATAGATCATGTCATCCTATACTTCTGTGCTATAAGTATCCACATGACTTATTATGAAGCATATTAGGGACACAAGTAATTTTCTTTACCATTGCACATCCTCTATAATCCCTCTCCTAGTGTAGATTTGCAAATGAGAGTATCGTTGGATACCTGTTCAGCATAGGAGTAGGTGGGGAAGGAGTTGGGTTGATTCATGCAAGGACCGGGCAGAGGACACCTGGGCTGTTAGCCCGGAGTGATGGGCTTTGGAGCTCTCCTCCCCACCCCAGGGCACTGGAGAAATCCAGATTAGGCATGAGCCAAGTCTCGGGTACCTGGAGTAATGCAGTGGAATAATGAAAGCGAATGGGGGGGAATTCACAAAATAGGAGGGCTGTGAATCAGCAGTCAAGAAAAATCACCTGGATGTTAGCATTATCTGCAGAAATGGGGGAGGAAAAGATGGAGTATTAGGGAGACTAGAGGAGTTTGTGGGTTATTAAAAAAAACTACTAAGCCATATAATGACAATGCGGTATTCTCTATTTTAATGATGGCTACAGTAATGCTTTTGAATTATTTGCCTCTTCGGTTAAATCTGCATGTTAATATCAGAAATGTGCAAGTCTTCCTTCTGACTAAATTCTTTTTTTTCCCCCTAATGGATCAAGGCTATTCATGCAAATATGCATTTCACTGTGGATTATATCTTGTTGGAGAAATAGAAAACTGTTATTGGTAAAAGGTCTGCTGTATTTAAGGCAGAAAACTACATTAGTCTTTATAAAATACTCTAAAATATACGTGTATATCAAGGCTTCTAAAATGGAGATGACAACATTAGTCTTCCTAATTGGTTTAGAGCAATAAAAATCTAGTGGGATAATGTAGGTCACTGAGTTTCCACAAAGTTCCGCTCCTGCTCTCATCCCCTCCTTTTCTTCTGTCCTCAGGAGATAACCAGACTATAACTACCGAAAAGCAAGCAGCCTCATGCTCTTTTTTTGGGCAGATGCGTAAAAAAGCATGATGCCTTTAAGTGGCAAATAAGAGACTGAAAGAGGGAGAAGGACCAAAATGTGTTGTGTAAGAGATGAAAAAAAGAGAAGGGATAAGGTTAGAGCAGGCGCACAGCGAACGTAAACCATGCCACCACAAGTGAAGCTACTCCCTGAATACGGGAGTAGTGAGGGCTCAGATGAGCAATGTCTCCTGAGCTTCACTAATGGAGATCCACCCAGTTCCCTGCTTTCTGCTTTCTAGCAGTGTGAATGGTGCACGCTGTGGGTGGTTGAGCCAATCTCTGGCTCATCAGCCATTCGGACACTGTGACCGACTTGCAGTTGTCTGCTGTCAAAAGCAATGCTAGCAGCTGAGCTCTGCTTGTCCTCCTGGAGGTCACCATCCTGTATCTGACTCCCTGGGACCAACAGGAGCTGAACTATCTCCCATATTCCTGTCTCGCTGCTGAACGT